GCAATTCCACAAAACAAAGTCTTGAACTTGGATGAGTATATGTCAATGTCAAGTTCCTTATAATATTACGAGAGGTTGAGTCAGCACTGTTACATATTATAGCCGCAATTTACATACGTATATCAGCCATCGATCTATTTTACTTTTTAAAAAAATCTTCTGAAATAATTTTATGCAGGTGTAGAAAAGTAAATTTTCAACCTGCTTCAAAAGCAAAAATCTTATTAATGATGCTGTGCATAGCTTCGCACGGAGGGTATCGATGTATGTACATATGTATACTGTATACTGATATTTTCATCAATATATATTTCAAACAATCACTGCACGAAAAATCGCCTTTTGTTTATACAAAAGATAACCAAATGGCTAACTTTTGTTTGCCTTTTTGTAGCTTTTAATCTTCTTTTATATTTTTAGGAAAGGTACAAAAGTTAATATTTTGTTTAACTTTTGAGCATGAAAAAGATATCCAAATGGCCCACTTTTATAAATCTTTTAAAAATAGAAATGCAATCTTTTATCATCTTTCAACAAGAAAAACACAATCTTTTTACATCTTTTGAGCTGATGTAGTATGGACTTTTATCGTCTTTTTCTTTTAAAAAGTTCTTTATTTGTCAACTTTCATTAACCTTTTGTTTTTTAATGCATTGTTCATACCTCTGCTTCACCTTATAATATATTAAAAAATATCACCTTTAATCATCTTTAATTCATCTTTCATGCCCCTTTTATGTCTTTTCATCACCTTATATTATATAAAATGTCACCTTTCATTACCTGTACTTTTCTTTTATAGCTTAATTTGTTTTACCTTTATGTATTACAAAAATTAGTCTTTATGCACCCTGTATTTTTAATACTAATTTCTATACCTTTACATGTAATATGCCTTTTGGCAAGTGAAATACAATGTATCACATTAAGACAGTTTTGATTCTCCTTTTAAATTAATTTTTTGATTCATGCTTCTTAATGACAAATAATCTTTGCCATTCAATGTAAAATTACTTACAATATTAATAAATATCATTTGATTGTTCAACAAATTTATTCTACAAAACAAACAAATGTATCATAATAACATGAATAATGACTAGATTGTTTACATTTTGCTTTAAAATGGCAAAAATACACAAAATATAATCTCAATATATAAAGCATTCATGAAAGCATTACCGGGGTATTATGGAATTTGTTGAAAAAATCATTTATGGGGCTGGATGATCAACATACCATCTTGAAACTTACAAAATTCTAGTTTATTTCACCCTATCAGTAATAATTAATTTCTTGCAATTAAGCTAATTATGATAACTGATTCTGGACACAGATTTAAGATAATTTTCCTTCCTAACTTTTTTTCAGGCTGGTAACAGGAAACAAGACTATTTGTTATCATGACCTTAAAACTGAAGTTATTTTTTAAATAAAATTTTAAATTTAAAATTGTAAGCAATGAAATTTTGTCCAGGCCCCTTTTAAAATTTGTTCAGACTTTTAAAAAAAAAATAAGGTGAAATTATCACTAGTCCAATGAATAATATGCAATTTGACTATATAATACAATATACAGCAAAACATGGTTTAATTATAGTCACTGGGACCTATGAAATTACTTTGCTATATCCATAATTCGGTACAACCATATATGACACTCATTTAATTATATAGCTGGGAGTCTAAGATGACTTCGCTATATCTGTAAATTCACAATATACCCGTGTTCGTACTAAACAAGTTTTGCTGTAATTTGGTATATAAGCGTTACCCGTACGAAATTTAAGTCACGTATTTTTAAAAAAATCCAGGCGTATTTTAATCTAAAAATCCTTGTGGAAATCTCTATTGAAATGAATATATAAAACCAGGCGTATAATGTAAAATACAGGCGTACACGAGGCGTAATCCTCCCGTATTTTTGGCCGAAATATGCAAATGAGTACGCCTGGAAATTCAAAATACGTCTGGAAATTTTAAAAATAGAATTACGCCTAGATTTCAAGCATACCCTTAAAAATACGCCTGCAAAATAAATACACCCGTATAAAAGAATACGCCCGTACAAAAAAATACGCCTGTACAAAAAATACGCCTGCTTTAAATAGATTTGAATTAAATATTAATTATATTACAGCAATGGGAGCTACAACTATAGCATGAATATAAATGTACAATCAACTTTAGTACAAAGATTTTTGACTACATATATGCTAAAAAAGATTAGACAAATTAAGCTAAGCATACATCACTTTTATTTCTTAATATTTTTCAGTGTGATAAAATGTGAATGAGATTCATTAGTAAAGGATTGTCATTAAAATTTAAAAAATCATAATCTTACATTTACTTTTTCAAAGCACAGTTACATGTTAGAATATATTAACCGTTTCACAGCATTTTAACATCCAAGGCTGAGTTTTATAGTAAACAGTTGAAACATTCCAATAATCACAGTGAATCACAGTTTTGAGAATCATGCCGAGTACTCCTGCCATTCTTTTTACTCCTAAATTGGCATAAAAGATGCAAATCACAAGCAATTCTGTCATTCACGTTTCACATCACATTTCCCAATCACAGTTTCATAGATTGAAATATTCACAAAAAGAAGTTTGAATGCTTTATAACTGGTATTGCAAACGGTCATCTTCTTCCTGATGCAATCTTCCAATGGCTACAGTTCACTGGCATTATTGTATTTATGGAAAGCTATGCTGCTGGTCAACTCTTAATATTGCAAGATCTTTTTCCTCCTCTTATGAAATTTCATCATTCAATCAATTTTCCAACTGTGATAAGGATTTAGATGTAAATCATTTTCTGGAAAAAGAATAATTTATGTAATTCAAAATACTACTGACCCAATTTTCAATCATTAACATCTGGCTCTGCAAATCAAAAGCAAATGCAGCTGTCTTTTATTTTCATAGATAAAAAGTTTCAATGTTAAGCTATGTTTTCAAAATATTTACCTCTTCTACACCATCTGTGCTTTGTTGTGGTTTTCTCTAATCTCATTGTTCTTGGCATGACCTGCCTGGTGGTTTAAAATTGGCGCAAATACTTGGATGCAGATGCTGTTATTTACAACCCCCTAGTTAGCTAAACTCTTTTATGATTTCTGGAAGTTCTACTCAGTACAATTTGTAATTTTGAAGAAAAATGCTGTTTTGTTTACAGCTAGAACATAAAAATAAAATTCCATCAATGTACATTATATGAATTAAAAAGATACTAGGGTGGGAAATAGAACTGTTGTACACAAACCGGATATAAATTGATAAGCCGTTCTTAGGTTTACAACATCACAGATAAGTCGTTCCTAAACATGCTCAACACATCTGTAAGTAATTAGCACAATCCCAGCAGGTTAGGCTAGGGAAGTGAAAGTTGATGGTAATGTAACAGAGTATCTAAATATACCAAAAATAAATCATTTTATAAGAAAAACATTTAATTGTAATAACATGTATGTTTATAGCCTGACTAAACAATTAATCTTGAAGTTCAAAGAATATACTATCTACTTTACAGTTATAGAAATCATTTGTGTTAAGAAAAATAATATCAATTTAAAAAAAAAAAATGGAAATGACAAAATTTTAGGTCCATGGGATAATGTTCTGAAAAAAAAAGTTCTAAAAAAAAATCAGTTTAATTTATGAAAAATAATTACTTTCAATTGATATTTAATACAACAAACTAAATGCAATATTGTAATGTATACAATCATGCAATACTTTGGGTTTTTTTTGTTTAAGTTATATAATATAATAAAAATGTTTCTTATGCAACTCAATACTTTAAAAAAAAGAGAATGATTGACTAAGTTTTTTTGGCTAAGTTAAAAAATCCATCAAATTTTAAAAAATACGCCTTTTGAAATTTTCTAAGTTTTAATTTCCTTGTGCCAAAGAGACTAAGTAGAAAATACGCCAGGATTTATTTACGTAAAAAAAGAGACGTATTTCTGGCAAAAATATACGCCTGAAAATGAACCGTATTTTTAAGAATACGTCTCTTGTACGCCAGGATTTGCAAAAAATCCAGGCGTAATACGTCTCTGAATTTCGTACGGGTATGCTTAACACAGCAAACAGAACCAATGAAACAAAAAAAATACACATCAAATATGTACTTTATACAAATAAAATTTTATGGATTTATACACTATTTAGTGTATATAGTTTGCTGAAATACTAGCTATAGCTAGCAAGAAATATACAAGTACAATTTGTATTTTTGATTTTTTCTTTCTTCAAAATATACATGCATATTGTTTTCTAGCTAACAACTGTAAAAATTATCATTGAAGAAAAAAGATTGAGAATAAAATGTTTTCCACTAACTAGTACAATGTACAATGTATTTTACAGAAAATAAAAATAATTTACATGTGAATGTACCAGATACATGTTACAAATGATCTACTTAAAAATACATGTGTGTTCTTAAATTCAGTTTTTACCATAAAAGATTTAATGAATATTTCCACATGCTTATTTTCAAAAACTGTTCAATTAATTCTATCAAGTTGTCATATGCATCAATTTACAGACAGCAACAAATCTAACAAGTTTTTAACATTATTGACATGCAATTCTTTAAAGGTATAGATGGTGTTCCTATGCTAATAGTTATTTTTGATAGGAATTCGTGATCATAATTGTTTTTGTTAAACTTTCAAATGCTCCTATAATAAAATCTATTTGATTTAATAAATATCCCACTATTTTATTGTCCTAAAAATCTCAATCAATTGTCTCCATTGTTATTGTTGTCAATCAAAAAACAGAACCAATTTAAGAGGAGAGGTCGAGTTATTTAAAGTATTTGTAATTTTTCAAGATTGGATAAATAAACTTGGATACAATCTTGTTGTAAATGATCTTAATCACATGACTTTGAAAATGTATAATCTGTAGGAAATTTATTTACATACATTGATAGTTATATTCGATTTAGTTTTCTTTTCTTCAAAATTTTGAACTTACATGAATAGTACGTTACACCATATATATCTTTAAAAAATCAAACTAATCTTTTTTAATCATCCAGGGAAATACCTCTGGGCATGTAGGAGTAGGCTTGATGTTAACAGCCCCAACACTCCTAGACTGCAACATTCTTTTGCTCTTAACAGAGCATATCTCTAGAAATGTTTTGTCAAGATGGGATTTGACTTTTGACAGTTTATCACTCTGCCATGAGATAGGATGAGTGATAAATCCTCCATCGCATTCCTCATCACTAGATGTAAACTCCACCTTAAGTATGCTCCTCACCTGGGCCCTCCTCATTTCGTTTTCCCATCCCTTACTGGCCAGGTGGTCTAACGCCTGCTTTCTCCTCTTTGTTTTCTGAAGAAAATTGAAATAAACGGACAAGCAGATGAATGAGATTTAATGTTCCCTTGCTTTCATGAAAGTGAGGGACAATATGTAAATCAAATGTTACCTCCTTCTTTCTCTCATATAAAACTCTCTTTTGCTTCTGTTCTTGAAGCTTGTTCTTGGACTTCAGGACTGCCTCCTGCTTCTTTGAGATGAAGTATCTTTTAATGCCACCTATACAAACACAAGTAAAAAATTAAAATATATCCATATGCACATACTATAAATTATAATTACAAGTAAAAATTTGAAGGTGACTCCAGGATTGTAGTTTATTTGAATGAGAATGTACACGTCACAACTGTCATTATAAAGTAAATTCCACAAACTTTTTGAGACCTCTTGTGTCAATGCACATGTTTGTAAAACTTACAGTGGATGACCCTCTCTTCAACATCAGAGTTCCAGCCTTTGACAAACAACAAAATATGACTGGTCATATCCGTGTTTTCTTCATCTTGCTGCCTAAAATTATTGGTTCATCACAAATACAAAATTTATCTTTTGAATAGGATTTTAAATTTATCTGATGAAAAAGTCAATTATTTACAAAGAATTATTTCTTCTTTAATTTCTTCATAATTTTAACCCTAATATTTTACATTTTACAAAAATTGGGATATATGTCAATATATCAAATAAATATATAGCGGCTATTCTTACTTCTTTTTGTCAAAAGCCCAAACATATCCTCGTTTAAGGCCATCGGCATAACCATCTCTAATTGCATTCTGTAAAAAAATAAACAAGATAAGTAAAATTATTGCCATCAATCTGTCTTGAAATTGTAGGTCTAAATTTAAATCAATTATTGGGACTGAATAATATATTTATTTACCCGTATACTTGGTGGTACGTAGACCTTCTCTTCGCGGGTTTCTGCCTTTTCATTTTCTTTTTTTTCCAACACCTTTATACGTTTAAGTATTTCATCTTGTTGGAGAAGGATTTTCTCCAACAAACTTCTTGTAGCTAATTAAATTAATAATAAATGAAGTTTAATAGTAATAGTTTTAAAAATATATTTCCAATTTAATTCATCTATTACTGTAAACATATTAAATTTAGTGGTATATTCTATTTAGCAATTTTCGCGGAAAGCAGAGTCCGCTAATTCAAGTACATTGTTAAATTCTTGTATATTAACTTTTATAACTAGCAAATTCAGCCAGCGCTAAATCAAATATTATATACGCTAACTTGTTGAAAATTGAATTTTCGCCAAATATCGTACACGCCAAATGTAATATGTTTACAGTATATAGGACCCCAGGAGTTAACAAGATGATTGTAAAATTATGTAAATTACAATCTGTACAAAATCTCAATCCATAATTCATATTTGATTAAAGTGACTGAATTTATACAAAATTATTAACACATGTAATTGTAGTATGTGTGGTGTTACATGCGTGGATCTAGAGGGGGGTTGGAAGGGGGGGGGTGTCAGGACACCCCCCCCCCCCCGGATTTTGCAAGGTAATTAAATCTATATACGAAAGGAAGAAAAAAGTGAACTTGGACTCCCCTCGGGAAATGCAGACCCACCCTGGTAAATGCGACTTTGTATTACAGTGGTATGAAAAGTCTAAGATTTGAAGAATAAAAGTCATTTACATCCCCCCCCCCCACAAACACACACGAAAAAGGCTTTTGAAGTTTGGGTGGATTTTTTTTTTTTTTTTTTTTTTTTTTTTTTGCTTGTAAAGAAATTTTGGGTTTAATTTTTTTTTTTTTGGGGGGGGGGGGGGGGGACTGAGGTGGACCCCCCTGGGAAAAATTACTGGATCCGCGCCTGTGTTATACAGGTACATTATATGCAAATAATAAAAATAATAAATTTAAAAGAGGTAATTGTGTTACCTACATTTATTTCGTTCACAAACAGGGGTTTCATTCACTCGGACCCTTTTTCTTGACTGCAGCTGGTTACTAGTAGTCGGTGTAGAAGAAGCACTGCTGGCTCTCGAACTGTCATCATTTCTCTGTATCAAAACATTAAAGCGAAAGTAGATTTTCGGAACCTCTCTAGAATTTTTAATAAAGGACATCTGGGGAATTCCATCTCATGGTTGTGTATTTTGGTAAAAATAACAGGCGAAGAAGGCATAATCATGTTATTCGCTTCGCGAATGGAATAAGTTTGACGTTGTACACGTTAACGTCATTTCTTATATAAGAGGGATTCTAATGATGTTATACAGTTTATATTATTATTTTCGAATATTTAGTAGTATTGACTACTATTTCAGGAAATTAAATAATACGAGAGAGAGAGAGAGGTCCAATGCTGGATTCTTTAGATAATCGTTCATATATATGAAGAATGGGTGACGAATGAAATGCCATCGGTATATATATACAGAGACAACATTCTAAAATTTTATAAAAGGGGAGATTTTCAAAGGAAAAGGGTTCGTTTTAAATATATATGAAGAACAGGTAGCGAATCAAATAACATGAGTATATATATACAGACGCAACTAAAAACTAAACTAAACGCAACTAAAAAGCCTCTGAAAGGGGAGATTTTCCCCGGAAAAGGGTTTCTTTGGGGGTAATTCAGATAAAAATGGGGCTTGGATTTTTTGGGGGTTTCATTCTTGAAATGATCATTTTTCAAATGATCAAGGTAAATTATAGGGAGCGAATCAAATAACATGAGTATATAACGACACAATTGTCCCATTTTAATACTTTTCACGTAAACTGAAGTATATAATACCACAAAAAGAAAATACATATAAAGAAGTAAGTTTTTAGATACGCTATTAATTCCGTATGAACAGCAGACAATTAATAAATTACAGGTAGTAAAATAAATGTTGCTATTTATTCCGTAAAATTTTATATCTAAATTTATATCATTTACGGAATAAACACAATTTTATTTTCCCCTTTTAATGCTTTTCACGTAAACTGAAGTATATAATACCAAAAAATGAGAAAATACATATAAAGAAATTAGTTTTAAGATACGCTATTAATTCCGTATGAACAGCAGACAATTAATTACAGGTAGTAAAATAAATTTTGCTATTTATTCCGTAAAATTTTATATCTAAATTTATATCATTTAACACAACACAATTTACAATAAACACAATTTTATTTTCCCCTTTTAATGCTTTTCACGTAAACTGAAGTATATAATACCACAAAGAGAAAATGCATATAAAGAAATTAGTTTTAAGATACGCTATTAATTAATTCCGTATGAACGGCAGACAATTAATTAATTGCAACTAGTAAAATAAATGTTGCTATTTATTCCGTAAAGTTTTATATCTAAATTCATATCATTTACGGAATAAACACATTTTTTAAATTTAGCTTATTGATGACTTAATGAGAAAATAAATAATTGAATAAAGTTTGTTATTTATTCCGTTAATTTTCGTTGAAATTTATGGATACGGTCTAATTGACTCTCATGCAAGGAAAAACAGAACTTGCGGCGGTATATACTCATGTTATTTGATTCGCTCCCTATAATTTGCCTTGATCATTTGAAAAATGATCATTTTAAGAATGAAACCCCTAAAAAATCCAAGCCCCATTTTTATCTGTATGTCCCCCAAAGAAACCCTTTTCCGGGGAATATCTCCCCTTTCAGAGGCTTTTAAGAATGTTGCGTCTGTATATATATACTCATGTTATTTGATTCGCTACCTGTTCTTCACATATTTATGATCGATACGGTCTAATTGACTCTCATGCAAGGAAAAACAGAACTTGCGGCGGTATATACTCATGTTATTTGATTCGCTCCCTATAATTTGCCTTGATCATTTGAAAAATGATCATTTTAAGAATGAACCCCCCAAAAAACCAAGCCCCATTTTTTATCTGAATGACCCCCAAAGAAACCCTTTTCCGGGGAAAATCTCCCCTTTCTGAGGCTTTTAGAATGTTGCATCTGTATATATATACTCATGTTATTTGATTCGCTACCTGTTCTTCACATATATATGATCGATACGGTCTAATCGACTCTAATGCAAGGAACAACAGAACTTGCGGTGATATATACTCATGTTATTTGATTCGCTCCCTATAATATGCCTTGATCATTTGAAAAATGATCATTTTAAGAATGACCCCCCCCAAAAAAAAACCAAGCCCCATTTTTTATCTGTATTTCCCCCAAAGAAACCCTTTTCCGGGGAATATCTCAGAGGCTTTTAGAATGTTGCGTCTGTATATATATACTCATGTTATTTGATTCGCTACCTGCTCTTCACGTATATATGATCAATACAGCCTAATTGACTCTCATGCAAGGAAAAACAGAACTTGCGTCGGTATATACTCATGTTATTTGATTCGCTCCCTATAATTTGCCTTGATCATTTAAGAAATGATCATTTTAAGTATGATCCCCCCAAAAAAACCAAGCCCCATTTTTTATCTGAATGACCCCCAAAGAAACCCTTTTCCGGGAAAAATCTTCCCTTTCAGAGGCTTTTAGAATGTTGCGTCTGTATATATATATACTCATGTTATTTGATTCGCTACCTGTTCTTCACATATATATGATCGATGTGGTCTAATTGACTCTAATGCAAGGAAAAACAGAACTTGCGGCGGTATATACTCATGTTATTTGATTCGCTCCCTATAATATGCCTTGATCATTTGAAAAATGATCATTTTAAGAATGATCCTCCCAAAAAAAACCAAGCCCCATTTTTTATCTGTATGTCCCCCAAAGAAACCCTTTTCCAGGGAATATCTCCCCTTTCAGAGGCTTTTTAGAATGTTGCGTCTGTATATATATATACTCATGTTATTTGATTCGCTACCTGTTCTTCACATATGTATGATCAATGCGGTCTAATTGACTCTCAGGGAAGGAAAAACAGATCTTGCGTCGGTATATACTCATGTTATTTGATTTGCTCCCTATAATATGCCTTGATCATTTAAGAAATGATCATTTTAAGTATGATCCCCCCTAAAAAACCAAGCCCCATTTTTTATCTGTATGTCCCCCAAAGAAACCCTTTTCCGGGGAATATATCCCCTTTCAGAGGCTTTTTAGAATGTTGCGTCTGTATATATATACTCATGTTATTTAATTCGCTACCTGTTCTTCGCATATGTTTGATCGATGTGGTCTAATTGACTCTCAGGGAAGGAAAAACAGAACTTGCGTCGGTATATACTCATGTTATTTGATTCGCTCCCTATAATATGCCTTGATCATTTAAGAAATGATCATTTTAAGCATGATCCCCCCAAAAAATCCAAGCCCCATTTTTTATCTGTATGTCCCCCAAAGAAACCCTTTTCCGGGGAATATATCCCCTTTCAGAGGCTTTTTAGAATGTCGTCAGTATATATATACTCATGTTATTTGATTCGCTACCTGTTCTTCACATATGTATGATCGATACGGTTCTTTCATTTTTTTTTATACCTATTCCGTTATCATACAAGACAGAATTCTCCATGTATTCTCAATATATTTTATTTCCTTAAATCATTGATAATTTTTATTAACGAATGCTAAAACATGATTAAAATCATTCCTATACAGGTTTTGACGTTAACGTGTACAACGTCAAACTTATTCCATTCGCGAAGCGAATAACATGATTATGCCGCGAAGAAAAGGTGAAAATACGAATAAGTAGTTCTGTCGCTCTTAAGCAAGTTAAAATATATAAATTGAATTATTTTGCTAGTAACTGTACTGTAAAGTTTCCATTAAATTCGAAACTAATGTTGTAATAGTGTAGACTTCCTTCTCTACAATGTAAACAATATTTATACAGTACTTAGCCAACGAAAATCAATTAATATCCTTCCTTCGCTACCTAAGTGAACCTAAATGAAATAATTCGTGATTTATTGTGTGATAAAGTGCAAAAGTATATGCAACATATACATTCTTTTTAAGTATTTAAAGAGAGAAAACCCTACCCGAGAATTTTCTTCATCACAGTGGTCACTTTCATCTTCCTCCGATGAATCAGACATGGCGGGCAGAATTCGGCGTCTTTTTGGAGTCTTGGCAATTTGGCCTGAACTACAAGCCCCATTTGTCGCCTGTTTTGGTGTGGAACCTCTGCAGGAACTTACGACACTCTCTTCATCATCATCACTAAAGATTCTTTCACTATCCGAATCGAGAGGACGACTCATTTTTTTAGCAAGACTCAGATATTGACGGCAGCGACAACTCGGCAAAAACAATCCCGCCTCAGTGCAGTGGGGATGGGCTAGGCGGGAACTCCAGTTAGTCATGTAAACAGGAACCCCCCGAAACCCCAGTTTTGATACATGTGCTTGGAAGCTGTCGAGAGCATCATTGTTCAGGACATTTTTCAAATTTTTATTGGTATGTAGATTAGTTTATCTTTTATGTTCACATTTTTTTTTGTATTTGCATAATTCAAAGATGAAAAAGATTTTAAATATGCTAAACTTATATTATTTCAAAAGGAAAGACAGTTTAAATTTAAAGAGGCTGAGGCCTAGAGCTTCACACTATCATTATAAAATGTGTTCATGTATGTATACTAGTCATTTAGATTATGTAACATTGTACAATGAATTGATATTACAACTTTAGCTGCAGAACTGTAGCTCTATGTTTGAGAAAATTTGGACAGATAAAGCAGAGAGCTATACAGATCCATGCATTGTAAAAACCTTCGATTTACGCCGCCGATTTGTTGTCGCTCACTTAAGGTACTATTTCTGTTTTTTTAAGTTTTCCCCAGCTTTATAAATAATATCCGATATTTAGCCATACATTTAACTTCTATTCCTAAATGTTAATTTGACCTTTCAATGGTTCTATTAGGGCCTTTTGTGGAAGTTGACATAAAAATGGGACTGATTTGGACCATTGAAAGGTAAATAAAGTTTCAATTGGAGTCAAAATATATGATTAATTATTGATTACCATTCTTAGAACCTAAAAAAGCATAAACTTCAAGAAATAATATCTGAAGTGAGCGACAAAAGATCGTCGGCTTAAATCGAAGGTTTTTACAATGCATGAATCTGTAGCTCTCTGCTTTATCTGTCCAAATTTTCTCAAACAGAGAGCTACAGTTCTGTTAATCTCTGATGAGATTCTGCTAGGCTAGATAGTTGGACTTGACGCTGTCGCAGACAGCGTCAAGTCCAAATATCCATGGAAATATCTAGCCAAGCAGAATCTCAATAGAGATTACAGTTCTGTGGCTATTAAAACATTTGCAATGTAAATACTAAAATAGTTATTTTTTTTTAACACATGCTAGCCTAAATGGTTCAATAAACTATTTTTTTTTATTAATGTTTAGGTACATACAGTAATACACCAGTTAATGAGCCCTAGCTGCCACCATCTGTGCTCTTACAACTCCTGTGAAAGCTGAATATCCATCAATAAAAGTTGCTTGATGTTGCTAATTTTCACACGAGATACTGACCCGTAAAGTTGGTAAGCCCAAAGGTTATAGAGGGAAAGCAGGGACTAACGCCGGTTGACCCCAGATTGACCCACAAATGGGAATAACTTTGGTTAATGTGAAAGTTGCCTATTTAAAATGGAAAGGAATATATCAAGATATGCATGTAACCATCACTTATATATCATCTAAAGTACAGTTTCTGTTTATTTTTTTTTTTATTTAAAGGAAAAAAATGGGCAAACATAGTACAGAAAGCAAAAAGAAATTCAGACAAAGGAAAAGGAAAGAAAAGAGGCAAAAGAAGAAACAGCTTAAGAAAGCAAGTATTGATAAAAATCACATTTGCCTGTGCAATGCTTCATCCTGTCCAGACAGAGCAACATTGTCTTCTTTGTCTTCTTCATCAGCACCCCCATCAACATCATTACAATCATCATCAACATTATCACAAAAACCAGTTAAACCAAAAGATAATCAGAATTTAATAACATTCACCTCGGATCCATTGTATGTTCGTTTTATGGAATATTCCACATTGAAAAAACGTGTTGCAGCTATTGAACAAAGAGAGACTTCCATGAAAATGTAACTAAAACTACATACTCATTTGGTAAAGAAATATCTGAACTGAAATTAATTATTATTGTATGTAATTTAAGTAAAAGAAATGTTGGGGCATCAATTACAGACTTTTTATATGCTTTTTTCACTCATATGCAGATATGTAAATATGATAGACTAAATATCAAGTTACAATCATATAGAAAAAGGAAGCAAAATTTAAAAATAAAAATATTATATTGCTGTTGTATTTCTGAAATTAGATTTACATAAAATTTTTGAATTTTATGAATGTATAATAGATCATCACACCTGTTTGCTATGGATAAGTGTTTTTTTTTTTAATTGTTAATTATATAAAATGATCCTATAGCCAAATGTGGAGAGGTGACCCTCAAATTTTTTTTATATCTTTCATGAATTTTTGTTAGATATTCAGTTAATGAGAATGGTTGAAAAATTAAAAATTAAAAGCTAAAAATTGGAGATCCTCATGCCTTTTTGCCAAGGAGAGGTGTTTTAATTTGAAATGATCCTATAGCCTGGCAAATGTGGAGAGGTGACCCTCAAATTTTTTTAAATCTTTGAAATGATCCTATAGCCTGGCAAATGTGGAGAGGTGACCCTCAATTTTTTTTTATATCTTTCACTAATATTTTTTTAGATATTCAGTAAATGAGAATGGTTGAAAAATTAAAAGCTAAAAATTGGAGATCCTCACGCCTTTTTGCCAAGGAGAAGTGTTTTCATTTGAAATGATCCTATAGCCTGGCAAATGTGGAGAGGTGACCCTCAATTTTTTTTTTTATATCTTTCACTAATTTTTTTTTAGATATTCAATAAATGAGAATGGTTGAAAAATTAAAAGCTAAAGATTGGAGATCCTCATGCCTTTTTGCCAAGGAGAGGTGTTTTCATTTGAAATGATCCTATAGCCTGGCAAATGTGGAGAGGTGACCCTCAATTTTTTTTATTTTTTTTTTTTATTTTTTTATTTATCATAGTATTGATTTCTTCTTCCCAAAGTCCAATAAAACTTTCTGAATATAAAATGATCTGGGGAAAGATCATAAGACAATGTTTATATATAAACTACCCGATAGGCCTTTTCTAGCTATTTAATTTTTAATAAATGTATTGCAAGAACTACAAGTACATTTGTTTTCAGAATTTTTTTTTTATTCAGTATCTTGTATACTCCACTCAGAGAAATGTTTTGGAATATGTTTATAAGGCAATTTTTTTTATGTTTACAGATTTCTAAGGGTTGTTGCTAATGGAGACGAATATACATATAATATTATCAGCAATAGGAATGTTAGATAAATGTGGTGCATTGCAATCAGGAGCCTAATTCCCATTCTTCTTTTGTGAACATGAGTTTAAACATTCATGTTATGGATTTGTCTCAGATCTTGTTTTGAAAAATTTTGGTATGACAAAGATCTTTACTTTGTGGAAAATTAGATATATTTATTCTCATGCTTGTATAACAACATGTCATCTGCAGCAAAGCGTCCACGAAAGTTTTGTACAGCATGTAAATTAGAGTTTTCAGACCGACATTTTCGGAGACATATAGAAAACTGTAGCAATGATCTTTCTTCTGCAAATGTATTTGCAAATACTGGTAGTGATAGCAATACAGGTTATACAGATGATGATTTTTATCAAGAATCTCCACTTTTCTCTGATGATGAAGAAATCTTGTATAGAAACTATGACTCTAAGACAAAAAATATTGTTCAGAAAACTTTTTGTAATATTAGTGAGGAAGATGCTGAAACATTTTTTGATATAGAATTTGAGAAATGTAGTGAAAATTTAGAGACCACGGATTCTGACATTGATGACACTGACAATTCTATTGACACAGATATCGAAGAGCAGAAAAATGCTGTAGTATCAGAGTCAGAATCCATAAATTTTTTGACACGAGTTGTGTGTACTCTTTTAGTACTGTGGCAGTCAGTATACAATGTGTCTGATTCAGCTGTTGATGCATTATTAAAACTTTTTTCAACGGTTTTTCAATTTTTAAGTAATTTTTCAGCATCACTACAAACATTAGTAAATGTTTTCCCACAGAATTTGTATGCAATGTCAAAAGTTTTAGTCAGTAGCAAGATACAGTTTTCAAGGTTTGTTGTATGCAGAAAGTGTTTTAAATTGTATGACTTGAATGACTGTTTTTTGAGAGTTGAAGGCAGAGAACAATCAAAACTCTGTAATCATATTTGCTTCCCGAACCATAGGCTTGTATACATGCGTAGAAAATGTAAAGAACCTTTACTTAAAGATGTAGGAGAAGCAGGTGTTTCAAAATTTGTACCATTTAAAACATATTGTTACAAATCATTAAAGTCATCACTTGAAATTTTTGTAAATCGTGAAGATTTTGAGGATAAATGTGAAAGGTGGAGATCTAGAAAAATCCATGAAAATATGCTTCATGATGTTTATGATGGAAATATCTGGAAAGATTTTAATGGTAGAAAATACAATTTTTTTCACTGAGGAAAGTAATTATGGTTTAATGCTGAATGTTGATTGGTTTCAGCCCTTTAAGCATACCAGTTACTCTGTAGGAGCTATTTATTTATCAGTTTTGAATTTGCCGCGGGAAGAAAGATTTAAAAGGGAAAACATTATTTTAATTGGTATTATACCTGATATGAAGAAAGAACCACCAACAAATACATTTGTTCAACCATTAGTTGATGAACTAAATGAGGCTTGGCATGATGGTTTTCATATTAAATCTAGGAAATCAAAAAATCAATTGAAAAAGTTTAGATTAGCTCTCCTCTGTGTAGGTTGTGATGTTCCTGCATGCAGGAAATTATGTGGGTTTTATGGTCACATGGCCAACTTGGGCTGTAACAAATGTAAAAAAGAATTTCCAGGTGTTTTGGGTGAGAAAACATTTGGTGGTTTTGACAGAAGCACTTGGCCCCCAAGAACAAATAATGATCATAGGGAAGTTTGTGGGAAAATTTCAAAATGTTCTTTAAAATCTGAAAAAGAAAGCTTAGAAAAGAGGCATGGAGTTAGAGTGTCTTGTCTACTAGATTTAGACTATTTTGACCCAATAAGAATGACACCTATTGACCCAATGCACAATCTTTTCCTTGGAACTGCCAAACATATGATAAGTGTATGGAAAACCAAAATGATTTTAAAAGAAAGTGATTTTTTAATTATTCAGGAGAAGATTGCAAATTTTTTCTGTCCATCTGATGTTGGCAAATTACCAAAAAAGTTTTCATCCTCTTATGGGTCATTTAATGCTGATCAATGGAAAAATT